ACACATATATTTCTTTTGGAAGAGAACCCTTTAGTAAGTAAATGGATACTTTGTTAAGACTAGTCAGACTTCATCAACCTGAACAGTCCTTCAACTCCAGTAGAACCTCAAGCAGCTCTAGATCCTCCAGCAGACTCTATCAACAACCCCAAGAAGAGGAGGAAGAAGAATGCTTCAACTTTTTCATGGATGAAGATGACGATGGTTTCTCTTCACATTCCTCTTCCAAGCCCCTTAGCCAAAACCCTTGTAACCCCTACCCGTACTCCGCCACCCCTCCTTACACCAATCCCGCCACCCCTACCTTCGACCCGAATCTTGAATTCGGGTCTTCCTTCTTCGCTGGCAACAAGTGGGCTAATGATGTTCTCGTCGAAACAGCACGCGCGTTGTCAGAGAACAACACCGGCCGGTTCCAACACCTGATGTGGATGCTCAACGAGCTCGGCTCCACCTACGGCGACACCGAGCAGAAGCTGGCATCTTACTTCCTCCAGGCCCTTTTCGCCCGCATGACTGGCTCCGGCGAACGGACTTATCGGTCGCTCGTTTCCGCCTCCGACCAGACTTGCTCCTTCGAGTCCACTCGCCGGATGGTCCTCAAGTTTCAAGAAGTCAGCCCCTGGACAACCTTCGGCCACGTGGCGAGCAACGGCGCCATCATGGAGGCCTTCGAGGGCGAACAGAATCTTCATATCATAGACATCAGCAACACGTTTTGCACGCAGTGGCCGACTCTTCTGGAAGCTCTCGCTACTCGAAACGATGATACTCCCCGCCTCCGCCTCACGGTGGTGGTTGTGGGCGGAGGCCGGGCGTCGAAGGTGATGAAGGAGATCGGGAGCAGGATGGAGAAGTTCGGTAGACTCATGGGAGTCCCATTTAAATTTAACGCCGTTCATCATACCGGCGACTTGTCAGAACTCGACTTATCGGCTTTGGACGTTAGAGAAGACGAAGCTCTAGCGATCAACTCCGTCGGGGCTTTACACTCCGTCTCGGCCCCCGGAGGCCGCCGGGACTACCTGATATCTCTCTTTAAGCGGCTGCAGCCGAGGGTTTTCACGGTGGTGGAGGAAGAAGCTGACGTGGAGGTCGGGAACGAAGGGTTCGACTTTTTTAAGGATTTTCAAGAATGTCTAAGGTGGTTTAGGGTTTACTTTGAGACGCTGGACGAGAGCTTCCCCAGGGCGAGCAACGAGCGTTTGATGCTCGAGAGGCAAGCCGGGCGGGCAATCGTTGACCTGGTCGCCTGTCCGCCGTCACAGTCGGTGGAGCGGCGGGAGACGGCGGAGCGGTGGTCGCGTCGCCTCCACGCGGCAGGGTTTAGTACGGTTCCGTACAGCGACGAAGTTTGCGACGACGTGCGTGCACTGTTGAGGAGGTACAGAGAGGGTTGGGGTATGGCGCAGTGCCCGGCGGAATCTTCGGCCGGAATATTCCTGTCGTGGAAGGATCAGCCGGTGGTGTGGGCCAGCGCGTGGAAACCTTGACTGAATGTTGACTACGGTCCCGTGCGTCTCACGTGTGGTATCATTTTTCTTGGCACATGTGCATGCATGGCACCCAGGTGGAGCTTCTGGATTTGTTGGGCGGTAGCTTAGATAAAGAAAGCTATTATGAATTTAATTTAATCATATATAAATTGTGGATTGATTTCAATTAATTGTTGGGGTTAATTAGTTTTGATTTCTTGGCAAAGAGAGCTTTATCTTTCAAAGTGATTTGATGTGTTGGAAAAAAAAATTGGTTTCTGGCCGGTTTGCCTTTAAAAAATCTCATTAATCTGTGTGATGTATATCAATACAAAAGTAGTGATTGAGCGATCATGTAATATAATTAGCGTAATAAGAAATTACATTTTTTCTATTTGTAAAAACATTACAAAATTTTCATAATTTTGAATGGGAAATTGTTTGAATTTTAATGGTTATTGAAGGCCAGGGATGGGACTATGGGAGTTAGTTAGATCAGAGAGGGTAGGCTAATTAGCTAAGTATATATCTCTCCCCTCATTTTGTTACATAGTTTTGAGGTAAAGATATGAAGGGAAAGTTTTTATAAATTTACCTTTCACTGTTTTTCAAAAAATAAATTACCTTTCACTGTGATAAATCAGCTATTTTGTTTTTTTGGCAAATGATAAATCGGCTATTATGATTAACATTATTGAGGACTACATTGATAGCTTGGAGAAATCATTAAAATGTACAAGTCTAATGAACTTATTAGTACGGAGTATTTGTTTGGTATCTCTGTACGTATACATCATGATCACTTCGCAAATAGCTACTACGTACTACCTTCGTTCTTAAATAAATGCAACATGTTGAATTTTACACTATTCGCATGCTCTACTTTGACTACGTTTTATTTATTAATGTATTAATATATTTTTTTTGAAAAAAATATTGTTAAGTTTGTCTCATTATAAATTTTCAAAATATAATTTTTTACTTTTTTTCCTAATAGAAAATTATATATATTAATGATCAAAGTTGTGTCTCGACAAATGTGAAATGTTGATTGTTGCATTTATTTAAGAATGGAGAAAGTATTAGATAACCATATATACCGGTCATTGATGTCTCATAACACCAATCTTAGCCCAGTGATTACGTAATTGTAAATTGTAATGTTATACTTATAACAATATGCAATGCAAATGTGTAATATTTCAATTCACAATCATATTATGTACTTCATCCAAAAAAAAATCATATTATGTACTTGAATCAGCTTTCTTAGGCCTTAGAATATCTTCAATGCTTAAGTAGTTAAGTGTACAACAATTGGAGAGGGTGTATTGAAATTGTGAGATCAAAGTAATTACACGAGAGAGTCTGTTAACACCCTACTCTAATTTAACAAGCAAGGAGAAGAAGGTGAGACCGAATTGAAGGTCTCAAAGTATACCTCCTGCTAATTGCTATACATGAGCATTACCACCTAGGAAGGACCTAATTCATACAATCATACTTCCTCCGTTTCGTAAACAAAGTCACATTTTCCTTTTTTGGATGTTTCAAAAACAAAGTCACATTTTCCTTATTTCCTTATTTGGCAAAAAAAGTCTACTTCAAAACGGTGTCCAACAATGTCAAACAGTGTCAAACAGTGTCAAACAGTGTTTTCTACAGTAAAGTCAATTTATTTCCTTAATCCCAGAGAAGTCAAACCGTGAATTTCTTTGCGAAACGGAGGGAGTATCTTTTTGTCTAAGAGGAATTAAAGGGGTCTTAAAGCAACTTTCTATTAAAAAAGTGAATGAATAAGAAAACTCTACTACTACATCATATGACTCAGAGTATAAATCCAATGAAGGGTTATCCCGCTATGATTGTCTCATTTTACCTTTTTGATCCGTCCCACTAAGAATGTCTCATACCTTATTTGGTAAAATTTGTGTGGTTCTAAATTATTCTTACTTTATTCTTACTTTATCAATTTAATATCAACCACATAAACCCACTTTTATTAATAACCGTGTCACCTTCTTTTGTCCCAAACTTAGGGGGACAGATGTAGTATATATTTTGTATTCATATTTTATATTTTCAACTTGTGTTTTATTATATGCTCCCCCCGTCCCGGAAAATTCTTTCTAGTTTGACTTGTATTGGAGTTTTAGAAAGTCGGAATAAAGTGAAAATGTATGGTTGTGATTGAGTAAGAAAAAGATAAATGAATGATAGTCACACAAACCTTTCCAAAAAGGGAAATGAAAAGAATTTTTTGGAACATCTCAAAAATGTTAGTGAGAAGATTTTTTTGGGACGAACGTAATATATGTATTTTCTATTTTTTCTCTTCATAATTATTTGACAATTTTTAATGATTAATTAAGGGGATAAATTGAACAATTCGGCTGAATTGAACTTATTTGACCCCTTGGATTGACACTTCAAATGCAGGGCACATTACCTGATAACGTGACACTGGCTGAACGATTACATGCAAATAGCCAAATTTAAATCTTTTTAGTTCAAGGATGAATTGAGCATCATGAGCATATTACATATACATGAGCCTACTTAACCTTTTAGCCTTTTTATTTAGCATGTTTAAACAAGTTTCCAGCCCCATGTCACGTCGCAGGCTACGCTCAAATGCAGCACAAAACTGTGTAGACACCCCAAAATTGTACGCCGTATTAAACAACAAATGAAATTGTGAAATTATACAACAAGCGCATCAAAGCTCTACACTTTAGTAATTTACAACTACTCATAGTACTGTCAGCTAATTTGAACTTCTCATATAAAAGACACTACAATAAATGAACAAGGGAATGATGACATATAGTGGCACTACTTACTGGCACAACTTCAATGAAGTTATACAAATGAAGAAAGAAAACACCCTACCTTGTCTGTAATTTTTCACTTCTCTTCGTGCCAAGAAGAAGGTAGACGCCACCTTTTATGCCAAAATATAGACACTCGTGACCACAAAGGAAACCCAAAATTGTATTCAAGCGGCTGGTCTACGGGCCCTGAAACAGTTAAAGGCAACCACACATACCTTGAATCCCTCAAGTCAGCCGGATTCCACCGATCCGCCATAAAAATAAAAACGTCAGGCAGCCCGGGCAAGGGAAGCACATACGTGCTTTGAGAGAAGAATGTCGTGAGTTGAAAAATTTTACTCCCGCCGACAACACTCGGGCTCCCAATCGTTTCCCATGGGCCCATTATTGACTCAGCTGCATGGGCTAGAGCCTCGTTTGGGGCCCAACCAGTACACCCAGAGGTGATCATGTAATATGTTCCTTGGTTCTTGAACACAGCAGGAGCTTCCCGGTGCTGCCCTACTAGAATCCTTCTCGCATCGCGCGTCACGTCTAAGTATTGTTCATTAAGAGGGCCCACGTGGAGCTCACTGTTTTCTACAGAGGAGTAAATGAGATAAGCGGTCCCGTCATCATCCTTAAAGACAGTCATGTCTCGGCTATCAAATCCGTGGGGACGAAAGCTATAGAGATAGTCAAAAGGGCCGTTTGGGAAGTCGCTAACGGCGACGCCTACAGAAGCTTTAGTATAGTTTGTGTCGTCTATGTGCATCCACATCACATATTTACCTGTTTTGTCATTGTATATTACTTTTGGCCTCTCTAGAACATTTAATGAGTAGAGATCATGTGTTTCGTTTTTCTCTTCTGCTGCTAATACAATGCCTTCATTTTTCCATGTCCACAAGTCACTTGAAGAGTAGCAACCCACTCCAATAACATCAACCTGCAAGGGATATATAAGTCATCAAAAGACACATACACTGGGATGGAAATGTCTGTTTAAAGTATTCCACATCAACAACTTATCCACCATATAAAAGATGGACATCCTAACCTTACTAAAACTAAACTGCCATGTTTTATCATGTGGAGTTACGAAAAAGCCTCTATACTTAAAGGGTAAAACATCATAAGTGTTGCACGGTCTAATGAGATCATCAAATCTAGTTCTACTGTTGCGACAAAGTTACTACTAATCAGCTACTAATCAGATGCTACAACCTACGGACCTATGGTCCTAAACCTCTACTATGGCCGTGTTTGGCGGAGTTCATCTAAACTGTATTGTTTAGTAATTTAAAAGAAATAGAAGTACAACATTAAACTGGTTAATATTATGTACAACTAAGATCTTTTGTTCATCCAGCATTAAAATCCGGTTCCCTATTAACTCTTTTTATACTCTGTATTCTTTTTTACGAAGTATACATCTTCCCCATTTTTATTTTTGATAACTTTTACCTTTATTTTGCATCTTCTCTTTTTCTACTTATTCTTATTCCCATTCATACCTTTTGATCTACTCTCCAACTGTTTATAGGTTTTCCACACTACTCACTACCACAACTTTTTCTCTCTTGAACTCTGTAAAAGCTTTAGGGACAAGTCATATAATATGGAGTGAGTATTTACTAATTTATTCAACTAATCAACAAATAACTGTATATGACACTCAACTATCATATTCCACAAAATTTTCAATTGTTTCTTAGGAAGTAATACCAAATGAATCATATATGTTGAAGAAATATAGCTTATTTATGCATCAATTCCTATAACAAAGCATGTTTTTGCTTTCATATTAATGGTGGTTACATGAGGAAGGATCAATTGTCAATACTTTTATTATAGCTTCACTACAATATAGCTAAAATCTCAATAGGAAAGAGTAATGTTATACCATCCTGCAGAATTTTCAATTCAAAGGCAAATATAGCATCAAGCAATGCAACATATATGAAACCAATATCAAAATTAAAGACGTGTAAACAACTGGAAGGACAAACAATCTACAAACAACTGTCCTTTAAACATCATTTACAGAGCAAATAGTCATCATCATCATAATCATTACCCCAGTGCCGCAAAGGCTCCCACCTACGGTAGGGTAAGGTGGGGTCGGATGTACGCAGTCTTACCCCTATACTAGAAACTGTTTCCGGATGACCCATAGTGAAAATCGCGACCAAAATTGCATAGACTGACTGCTGCTTCATAACAAAGAAGCGCAGACAGTTTAGTGAGCCATTTTGCTTTACTGAGCAAATAGTGAGAAAGAAAATAATCTACAAGTTCTGTGTTTCTACCACCACATTAGTAGTAAAAAAGGATGCCTGCGACTAGATATATTCACAAAGATTGGAAAGGCATGGAGATGAAATTTCAATTTCATCATTGAAAACATACCCGGGCGGCTCCTTTTTTGTGAGCATGGTAGGTAGGGCCATCTTTATATTCTCCGTACCAATAATACTTTTTTGTCTTCTCGTCATGTAGAATTCCACCTCCATGAGCCTGAATCGGGTTCCCTTCAGTGTCCAACCATATCCTCCCCGGGTAATAATAGTGTGTTTCATTTTCAGAGTCCTTCCTGGGGTCCACAGAATCCCTCGGACCAGGAAAGAAGAAGTTCCTAATCTGTGAAGACTCATCAAGAAACTCATCAATCAAAGTGGTTGGCCTCTTAGGTCCCCTTCTCTTGGCAGCACGAGGTGAACGCTTCCTTGGTGGAGGGAGTTGTATAAAAACTTCCTCAACTTTCTCTAACTCTTTTAGCAGTTCATGATGGACAATATGTGTTCGAGTCATCTCCATAATTTGGGGTTCTTTTTGGCGGATTAAAGTATATAGATGAAGCAAAACAAGACAGCCAAGTAGGGTTAATACCACAGTTCCCCACCTGCTCCCTGCATTGCAATTTAAAGTGGTTGATTTCCTAAACTTGCTCTTGTTCCTCATTTTGTCGTTCTCTATTTTTTCCCTCTCTTCAATACAACTCTGCAGTTAATGAATGCAGCCTATGGAGATTTAAAAACTAAAGTTATAAAACAGAAACTCTGTCAAACTATTCGAAAAATATAATCAAAACTAAGTTCTTCTTCTCAGATGTTCAACCAAATGTATTTAAACATGTTCAATTATTGTTAGAAAAAACTCTAGTATTAGGGCATACTGGTATATTTTGCTCAACTATCTGAAAGGGGAAGTGTTTGGAAGTTCTATTTGAGCCAGCTAAGTAAGTCCAAAGATGTTTATTCTACGTATAAGAAGATCAAGCCTACCAAACGGGGCCTTAGACTATCAGAAACTACTCAACCCCCACCAACCCAACCATAGGCATCAGAAAGCAGACAACTTAGCTATAGATCCACAAAGAATCGCACGAAAGTACTGTCCATACCAAGATTAACAAAGAACAGAGTAAAAAGATTCACTGTAACAAATCCGTGAAGTAAAACGATAATAAATAAATAATTGCAGCAATTCCTGGGTTAGAGAATAAGCAGAGATGATGACTACCTGAAGAAAACCTAGTCATGAAAGTAAGAAATCCCTCAAGTGGATTTCCCTCTGGACCACTCAGAGCATCTATGGAACAATACTTTTTCTCTTCTAAGCTGCTTAAGCATAGAGCTATACATCAATCAAGAATATCTTTTTGACCATTGTCTTCTTCTTCTTCTACCTCATTGACTTCAGAAAGTGGGATATGGGGATCGAAGGAATCGCGGAAAAGAGAAAACGAATGCCAGAAGAAGGAGAGGTTGGAGTGCCAGGGTGGCAAGAGGTGAGGACGGTGATGATGACTTCAGACCAAAGATTTTTCGGTTTAGCCCATCACTCATTTGTTTTCTGTAGGTATTAAGTGCACAGTTGACAGTTGGTTTTCTTCTGGAAAGATTGTCAATGACGCTATTTCCGTTCACATTGCCCTGTTTTTGACTTCTCTGGATTAGTTTTTGTCATTGTGCCTCAACAAACTAATGAAAGAACATTGCTAACTTTTTAGAGACTTTTTTTGGTCCTTGGATGACGAACAACTAGATAAGCTTTTATAATTGTTCAATCAACTATTAATGTTTAATGGAAGTTGGTAATCCTGTCCCAAAAAACTAATGAATGTATGTCATATAGTAAGGTACTAGTATCATTTAAAACCTATCTTCATTAATGTTATTTCATTTGTAAATAAACAAGTTCTTTTAAATTCAAAGAAACTAAAAAAATACTCCGTAGCTTTGTTTATTTTCCCAAATACTATTTTTTCTGAAGGTAAATATTATCAGGGAGCACTTCTTATATCTTAAAGTTATTATTACTTGAAGTTACTGAGAGAGACTGATTAGATTTTTTTTTTAATAATTACGGAGTACGTAAAAGAGATTTTACTTCAGGAAAAAAATACAAGAAAATAAATAGGCGAGGATGTAGTATATGATTGAATCTAATTGCATTATCTATCTCTATTATCATATCTTATTGCATTATTTAGAGAGTAACTGTGTATATTAAGTGAGCAAGATAACAAGTCAGATTTCTGTTAGGTCAACTTCATTTTTGGGTCATGATTAGTTCTATTTTAAACTTGAATCAATCACAAGAGAACAATTCATATCATTTTTGGACCCTATAATTTTGCTCATTTGCATCAACTATTTTCAACTATTAGATCGTACAAAGTTTAAATATCCCCAAGCATATTCATGATTTTTATGATGATTTAATATTGATTGTTAAATAAGTGTTAGAGGCGAAAAGAGAGTTTTCAGAGTCTACATTTGAAGTGAAATTAAAATCTAACGGTTGAAGTTAATAGTTAATACTAATGACTAAACAATTGAGTCATAATTTTTGGCGAAAAATAAAATTGACCTGGCAGTCTATATTCCCGTAGTTTATGAATTACCCTCCAAATTCCAGTAAATGCGGATTTGATCACTATCAACTTTTGCTGATATTGGCTCTAAAACACAAATTCAACAGGACTTACACCACTTGTTACTGACTTACACCACTTGTTACTGAGTTGTTCCTCCCACCACACAAACTCACTACCTTCATACCACCCTAACACTCACCCTCCTTTGATGTTGAGCTGCTACTACTACACCAAGGTAGGGAGCACTGTGAGAGCAAGACCCCTCTTAATTGTGTGTGTATTTAAATTCTTATACCTCCCCGGCTCCCCCTGGCTTAATAAATTATAACATGCACCACATTCATGTTATAAGATCCTAATTTCAATTCTTTTCTTGGTCATCGAAGGTTAAAATATTGACAATAAAGGCATGTGTCATCCAATATTGTCATCGACCCCATGTCTGGAGATGTTTTTTTGCAAGAGTATGGAGATGTTTTAGTCACCACACTACTACGAGAGGGTAATTACCACAAATTATATGCAAACAAATATGCATAGTTAGTGTTGATATTATCATATCTAACTCAAATACACACAGTTATTCTTGTCAGCTATGAGAAAATCATGCTCAGAGTGTGGCTAAAAAGTTACATATAGATTGAACCCTATCCAAACGTGAAACTCAAGGCAGCTCGTGAAATTAAGTTGATCTCAAAGAGCGCTTATGAATTTCACTGCTCACTTGAAGTCATTGAATAGGACAATCAATCAACCTCAACATCGTAAAATAGGTTATTCAGTCAAAAAATTATGATGAGTTGTATGAATTATTGAAGGGGTTGGATGGTATATATGCCCAACTAAAAACCTAGGTCTTTCACACTGGACTAATAACATCTCTCACAATAACCTATCATCTAGACTCACTACATAATCAATGTTACTATATATATTCTGATTGAAGAAATAAAATAGACACAATTTCCTTCCACACAGAAGTAAAGCGCGAGAAAAGTTTGATTCACTAACTTGTATCCACTCTCAAGGAGAAAGTTGATTAAAAACTTCCCAACCATGCTCGTTTCACATTGATCGGAAATTGAAGCTCTGTAAAAAGGATGGAAGTCCCATAGTTGATGCCTTCTTTGTCAATCGGCTTACTCGACTTCAAAGTAGTCCACATCAAGCTACATAAAAATTATAACACTTGTGCTTTTCTAGTTAAAGAGAACTTCAAGACAAGAGATACTTCTTCCTTCTATATGTGATATTAAATTGCAAGGTTTTTGTAATATTAATGTTCCTTTTTCCGGCGCTCCATCTTCAAATATCACATAATTCTTGGTTCATCAACTACTTCTTAGGAAAAAGAAAATTTGTGTTGTATCTTTTTTATTCGGTTGAAACTGAATACTGTGTCATGCACTCAAAGTGAGTGATGTTCTATGGTTACATCACCCAATCTTGGATTTAGTATGTATGAATCAAACGTATCAACTATACTTTGTGAAATTGAACAACTCATTATATCGCAATGAGTCGTGTGCTCCATGAACGTATGAAACACGTTGAGATGAATTGCTATTAGTTTTGTGAACGAGTCAGTAGTAGAGACATTTTGCCCCAGGCTTATCTCAACGTCCCATAAAGTAAGACATATTTTCACTATAACTCTTTAGGTGGCACATTTTACATTTTGGATAAGTGAGTTGAGTGTTCGACACCTTCACACTATAACTTGAGTGGAATCTTATAGGTAATTACAATGACCGCCATGATATATATTTAAGCATTCTTAGTCTTACTAACGATGTTTATTTTAGGACACTTTCCATGCACGTGTTTTTGTTTCCTAGTCAATTTCTTTTCCCTTGTCTATTTTTTCCCTCCAAAACTTGTACTTTTGTATAGGTTGCATATTGTGAATAGTAATTTATATCACATCTTTCACACAACAACAACAACAACAACAACATTCAAGTCGTCTTAGTCTTATAAGATTTTGGGGACGGCTAACATGAATCGATACATGATATCGTAACCAAAAGAAAAGAAATACTCCGTATAAGAAAGATAAAAAAGATAATTTATGATAAAAAGGATAATATAAAAAGAGATGGATATACATAAAAATGATAGAATAAAAAGGATAAAAAGAATACACACACACACAAATATAAAGATAAAATGATTAAAAACCAAGAAAAAGAAGATGAGGGGGAAAAGATGATAACAGATCACTCCTCCATCCACTAATCTCCTCCATCCACTAATCCATAACAGAAAAGAAGCATATCACTTCTGACCCCTCTAATCCACGTTTGTTTGGATCTTCCTCTCCCTCTTTTTCCTGCCTCTTCTCCACACATCTCAACTCATCTGACAGGTGCATCACACGGTCTTCTACGCACATGACCAAACCATCGCAAGCGAGACTCCCACATCTTATTTTCAACATGTGTTACTCTCACCTTTTACCTGATTGTCTCATTCCTCATGCGATACTTTCAGGTATGTCCACACATCCAACGCAGCATGCGTGCGTATCTCTGTCACACTCATATTTTGAATGTGACATTGTTTCACTGTTTAACACTCTATGCAAATATAGTAATGCATGCCTAATTATTGTCCTATAAAATTTACCCTTTGGTCTAGTCGACATACCTCACTATGTATTTAAGGCAAAAAAATTGAGACAAATTAATACATCACATAAATTATTATATTCATTTAACCTATCAATATACAGTTTCCTTATAAACTCTTATACTATTAGCTCTACAAATTAATACCAAGTGTGGTTATAAATTTGTCTTAATAAATTCTAATTTCAGTTTACGATTTAGGATTTTAAATTTTTTCAATCAATTTGTGATTTTTGAAATTTATGATTTATTTGTAATCTCTTTCATGTGTTTCTAGTTTTTGGAAAACAATTAGATTAATTGGTTATAATGAGTCAATACTTATTTTGAAAAAAACATCACTCAATTTTTAGATAAATATTTTGGATACTTTTAATTCGTCTGGTTTAGTTTGTGTAGTCTGATCTAATTTGATATGATCTAATAGACTTATGGTTATGCATATTTTATTATTGTTTAGGTTTGGTTTAATCTGATATATTTAAATGTAATTTAGTGTGAAAATAATCCTACTAAAAACATTTTGGTTAGTGCACATTCACTCCTCCAATTTCATTTCAAACGCTTTCTTCATTTTTTGTCCCCAAGCCAGCAATTCAGCCCGGCATTTTCCTAATGTTTTTTTTCTTTTCAATAAAAGGAATTTTATCAATTCGGAACTCGGAAGATTGATGAATTATCAATTCATCAAAATTAGCCTATGTATTGTCCTAAAAAGGAAGTGTTATACTCGTTGAGAATTAACAATAAAGTGCAGAGAATTTTATTTACTCCACAAAATAGCAAGTTGAATTCTTCAACAGCCATATTCAAATCAGAATATACATTAACACACATTCGTGATTATTCTGCAGCCGTGTAAAGCCTAATTTATGTTGTGACTCCATGATCTGCATATACATAGAGACCATGAAGCAAGAGCAGCCTGGAGATTTACTTTGACTCCAAACCACACACAAAAAATGAGGAATTAATGTACTATACATTGGATCTGAATTTATTATATAGGCTATGAACAGAACTAAATCACCAAGCCTAAACTCGTTCGGGGAAGATGGAGCAAGGAGAGAACAGTTTCCCCTTGTCTTGGTAAGCTTTTGCAGCCCACAATAATGTCAGAATCACCAAACAGATGGAGAACAGCAGCGTGGATAACCATAGTCGCCGTGCTGCCTTCCTAAACGGCTTGCACTGGAACTGAACAATATCTGAGAATGCTTGTTTTACTTGGGAGCATTTTATAAGGCTCACCAAATCAGGATATATGTCTATCAGGTCTTGTAGTGATTCACTGTAAGCCCTGCATTCATCATATATTGCTTCAGGCAAGAATTTTCCTTCTCCTCGGCATTTCCTTGACGATTTGTAACACGTGTACCGCGAGAGGATCTTCATGATCAAGGAAACATAAATATTAACTGAATGCAATGAATTGTTGAAATGTACTCGGTGA